CGTGCAATATCATGCGTACGATTGTTGCTTGAAACGTATAGTCTAACTTTTCAGAGACCACGATTCGGACGTCGATCGTATCATTTCGTATGTATGAATTTGTATGATTATTCTAGGTCATACCGGTTCTTGTAGATCATACAGTAATCGTATCTGATCATATTCGATCCGCTCGTACGATTCTTCGACCTAGGTTCTACTATCCAGTACTGCCAAAATGACATTCGTAAGAAAATTTCAATATGTATATATAGGGGACAGCATATATACATCCTATAATTTTGCAAAAGTTAAAAACAGTCTGAAGTAAACAATACTTTTCGACACCCCAGGTCGAACAAATAGTATACGATCGCATCTGAATCAGACAAAATCATATCAAGTCGTATGAAAATCATATATGCATCGTGGTATCTGATTTATTCTGTGGATCGTATAATACGATCATACAACATCATATACAATCATACAACTTCGTATGAGATCGTATAGTACGAACCATATGACAAATTAGATACCACGATTCGTATGTAAATCGCTCATAACCGTATATAATTTCAAACGATTCGTACGATCTTGTACGATCGGATAGTACGATTCAATCAACTCGGACGTTAACGAAAGCAAAACTAAATGTACATTAGTGGAGTACTAGCAACATTTTAAACCTTATCGAATAATATTTTTTTATTTGCTCAATTTGATATCAATAAAATAACTAATTGGTACTGTTCAAATCTAATGACACTTGCCCTTATAAAGTGTGCCTGGATGTTTGTCACGAACAGTTCAAACAAAGCTAATGCTTATTAGTTTCAACTACGTAATGGTTCTACCATTTCACGTGAATGAAGCTTGGTTCTTTTAGATCTGAAAATAAATTATAATTTCTGATGGAAGAAACATGTGATAGACCTTTCCAGACAATGTTTGAGTGCGATGTATCGCCAGTTTAAAATAGCTTTCGCTTCAGCGTGGTTACAAATTTACAAAGCATATGTTCTGCATCAGCTCTATTATGTGTGCACACTATACGATAGTGACTATATAGGATTCACTTGAATCTGTACAAAAACTTGCAAAACATATCATTATACAGTACTTCGATACATCTGGCAATGACCTTGTTCAGAAGACTCGAAATTACTTCTACTACAAGTAAGAAGAAAATATTTCCGCCTCATATTGTTCTATATGATAAATACTAGATATCCAAGTAGAATTTAGTATGATACGAGAAGAATACAAAATCGAATAGGTTAGCCAGACATTCTAAGTAAGTAAGAAGTCCCTTGTATATGCTCGAGTAAAAATAGTTTTACAGCCCTTCCTTTAACAGACTTATTGGAATTAAAATTTCGTGCTTACAGAAGTTGTAGTAACAACTATTTTTATTAAAATTTTTAAAAATCAGTCAAGACATCTTCAGTTTTAGAAAGATAGCAATATTTATTGATGTTTTGCACTTTCTTGCGTTCTCAGTAACCAGTTTTTTGTCATGTCTATGTCACTTGGTTGTTACTGAATTAAAAATCAATAATCAACAATCAGTTAATCAACTGTTTTAAATGGTAATAATACTTCTAAGAATGGAAAAGCAACTGCTCTACGTTCCAAAGGACAAACTGCTACACCCTGTTATTTAACCAATTCATTCTATCATGAATGGGGTACTTGCCCTTTTGGAGGAGTATGACTGTCATGCTTCCAAGTCATACTATACTGGTATTAATTATCAAAATATATGGCACATGGCAGATTATTTTTGGTTATGTTGTCCATAATGATTGTCTGAACGTAGGATAAAACATGGACTATTTTAAACCAAGAAGAGGGTCTAAAACATATCATTTGTATAATTCTCAATGTTTTCTCGTTTAATAAACTTTTGTCCTGTTGAATCGTATAGAAAAAGTGTCACTCTTCTTGCTATTGTTGCGTTTATGCGAAGAAGTCCAAGGTTTTATCCGTAACTACTTCAGAACATCGGGAGAGATATCGAATTTTGTCGGCTACGCTCTGTTTACATTCCTTGAACTGTAAAATATCGTTGATAAGAAACGAAACTACTCTGACGAAGAAAAAAGTAAAATTCGTGACAAGACATTATCGCGAGGCATTAACACGAACCGCCATTATGTCGACATAGACCGTAGGAATTTTTTTCCCAGCTATAATACGAACTGAAAATTTTTCCTGTGAACTGTGTCGACATCCGCTCATGGACTATGGCGATATAGACCACAGGTGGCAAATTTTCCATAGTACACACTGGATGTGTCTGGCAGTGTGTGGTAGGGGGTGAGGGCAGTGTGAGAGGGAGTTCGAAAAGTAGTTTAGTTATCAATACCCATTGTGTACTATGAAAAATTTGCCACCTATGGTCTATGGTATTTTCAGTCCATACTAGTAGCCATCGAATGGTGCAAAAATCAATCGAAAATATCACCAGCAAAAGGATTGCGAGCAGTTTTACTGTAGGAGTATCCGAAACGTTCTTATCTCCTGAAAACGGAAAATGAGAATGTTTGCTGTGTTCGCTTGGGGTAGATGCAACGCATGTACCAAAAGTGATGGGATTTTCGAATGATTGCAAATTGCCTGAAATAAAAGTAAAGCCTTTATATTATTTGTGTTCTATTTTGGTCCGGCTTTACTTATATTTCAGGCAGTTTGCTATCATCAAATGTTCAAAAACTACTGTTACGCACTCGTTCTTTCCCACTTACAGCAACGTTCGTCATTTGTCCATTCACATCACCCTGACGCCAGTAGCGTATATGTCGCTCAGCCACTTTGATTAGTGCTCACGACTCTCTTATATAGATCATAATGCATCGAGTCTTACAGCACAACCTAACCATTGTTATCTACGGAAAAAGCCAACCAGATTTCATTGAAACTTTTTTATTCTAAAGCATATAACAATGATTGCTGGTTTTCGGGATCAATGCTTTATCTAAATACTTTACAGTGTGCGATGAATACGAAGTAGATGTTTGTGCGGCAAAGATTTCTCCGTCGTTTTAACTGCTAAAAAGCTCGGGATAGTCTTAGAATGTAGGTAAAACTTGACTATACAACTTAACAGAGCTCGATTTTTCAAAACTGCTTTACTTAGTTTTCCCAAAACTTATACAAAAAATCAAGAGAAACGTTAAGCTATTCAGTGAATCTAGTCAAGATATTTCAAGATCTTGACAATGATTTCTTCAAAATTTTGAATGAAAATCTTTTTTTTATATTTTCGTTTGTTGTAGGATGGCCATACACGATGCACGATCGTATATAATTATTATACGCAAGAAAAACGTGCGAAGTTATGCCAAGTGGCAGACTTTTGCACTTAAGCAAAAGTGTAAAATAATACGAAAATCCGAGAATTTTTATTAAAATTTTGTTTTAAGATACCGATAAATTTTTCAGCTCTTAAATCGATGTCTTACTGGAAGAGTTCAACAGGTTATGAAATTATAAGTTCCACTAGAGACTGTTTTAATGAAAATGAATGGAAATACATTCCTTACATTGTTCGTGAGAAACTAATGAACGAAGAAGCGTACATTTTCGAATGAAAATGACAACTATGGATATTAGAGAATACTGTGTTTGTTTTAAACAACTTAAAAATAGTTATTCTGACCTCTTAACACGTTTTGTATTTTAGAAGGAATGATCCAGTGCATGTATGATATTGACTGCACTTCGTTTTTTGTACACCCTCTCTTTGTCATAAAAATCAGTGATGCGCACAAAAAATACCATTAGTGTATGTAAATGTATTATTTTGCACGTGGGATCTGTTTTTGCATTAATTTAGCGGTCCAAGACATTTTTCCTTCTCACATTTAGTTTTGAAATTAAAGTCAAAAAAAGCATCTTTTTTAATTGAGACGTAAGTTTCATCAATGACAGAAATCAAGGATGTAAAGAGAAAGAAATTTTCCTGCACATCATTGAAAGAGGGATGTGGAAGAGGCGTGAGACGCTTATTTTTGAAAAAATCTTTTGTACAGTTACGTACTGACGAACAACATAGCCAAATGAAACGAACTTTAAACTTGTTCGAATTAACAGGCATCGGATTTGGGGCAATTGTGGGTAAAATTCTGCATATTATCTTTTAGTTGTTTCACTCATTATTTTTTTATTTTGTAGGAACGGGTGTATTTGTCTTCTCTGGTTATGTTGCTGCTCAATTTGCTGGTCCATCTATCATTTTGTCTTTTGGTATCGCCGGAATAGCAGCATGTCTTTGTGGGTTGTCTTATGCAGAATTATCATCAATGATTCCCATTTCCGGCTCAGCTTATACTTACACCTATACGTCATTGGGTGAAATTTTTGCATGGATCGTCGGATGGGATCTTCTTCTACAATACATATGTGCTGGAGCAACAGTTTCTGTTGGATGGTCAGGTTATGTTGTCTCGTTGTTTCAAAGATTATTTAATATCGAAGCAATTCATGCAATAACTCGACCACCTTTTAGATGGAATGAAACAACTAGTTCAATTGTAAAAACAGATGGCGGTATAAATCTACCAGCCATATGTATTGTGTTTGTGGTTACAATTATTCTTCTTATCGGTGTGCGTGAATCACTTCGATTTAATCTAGTTATTGTTACGATAAAATTGTGCGTCATTCTTTTGTTCACTGGTGTTGCCTTTTTTTATGTGAAGTTGGACAATTACAAACCATTTATACCACCAAATCAGGGCACATTCAATCAGTTTGGTGTAACGGGAATGCTACATGCCTCCACCATTCTCTTCTTCGCTTACATTGGTTTTGATGCTGTTGCAACAGCTGCACAAGAAACTAAAACACCGGAGAAAGATGTTCCGCGTGGTATTCTCCTGTCTCTGCTCCTTTCAGCCGTCATATATATTCTCGTTTCTATAGCTCTTATTGGTGTCGTTTGTTACAAAAACCTTGATGTTTCATATCCGCTCTCCTTAGCTATGGAAATGATTGGATCAGACCGTTTGGCTGTCATAGTCGATTTAGGCATAGTACTATCATTAACGGGTGTTATACTTGTAAATATTCTTGCACCATCACGAATCTTAATGACCATGGCACAAGATGGACTATTTATGCCATTCATAGCAAAATTACATCCAACATTTAAAACTCCATATCGAGCTACAATTATCACAGGTAAAGAATGCTCAGGGGTAAAAAAATTGACAAAAAAACGCGTTTTCTTTTCTTTCTTAACGATCATAAAACGCGTTAAATGTCTCAAAACCAACACTTTGATTTTGTCGCTTAAATGCGGTTTTTTAATCTATTCGCTTTTGATAACGCGTTTTTCGGAATTCCATAATGCGTTAGAGAACGCATTTTTTGATCAATGTGGACAACAATGAAAACGTTAATTAACGCGTTCTGAAACGATTCAAAAAGAAAAGCAGAGGGAAGATACAGAGGCTTGAACCATCAACTTTTGTCTCACCATTCTTCCAGTTTTCCCATTCGGCCATATCCTCTTGACATTACATCAGCTGACAACAAACTAATGGAGAGCAGTAAAATAAGTACTTAATGAAGAATTTCAATTTCAAGAAACCGTTAGAACGGCAAGAAAAACGCGTTTTTCCGAACGCGTTAGCGAACGATCGTTAAAGGAGCTGTTTAAACTCGTTTTTTGTCGTTCAAAACTTTAGAATAATGCGTTCTTCGACAACGCGTTTGCTGACGATCGTTGAATTAGCCGTTTTCTGGCGTTTTCTAACGACGTTAAAATGGCAGAACTTCGAATTTTTTTCTTTTTGCAAACGTGTTTAGAAACAAAATTATCGAAGAACTCGTTATTCTAAACTTCTGAACGACAAAAAATGGGTCTCATATCACCCGACAAAAAAAATTAAGTTCGTTTTGAGTTGCTGAAAAGTGCTTTTCCGGATTCAGCAACCCTGCAGTTTTTCTATTTTTGGCGAGGGGTACTTCCGAAAGTTTTCGAACAAAATGGCGCAAAAAAATTCCATGGGAAAATAATATTGGTTTCAAAAACTTTTCTAAACTTTCGAAGTACCCCTCGTCAAAAATAGAAGATTTCGTGAGTTATCGAGTGTGCTGAATCCGAAAAAGCACTTTTCAGCAACTCACAACAAACTTTATTGTTTTTCCGGCGATATGTTTAACGATTGATCGCTAACGCGTTTTTCGTGCCGTTTCTATCGATCTTTTCCGTCCGGGTAACAGTAGAAATCTTTGCCGATCATATGTATCTGTTAAATCCCATTATACTTTTAGGTATCATTGTTGCGCTAGCTGGTGGTTTTCTTCCAATCGATATATTATCTCAACTGACTTCAATCGGTACTTTATTTTCTTTTATGATGGTACATATTAGCCTCATAATAATGCGTTATACTCATAAGACAATTCATCGACCATTTCGTGTTCCATTCGGTGCTCTATTCTTACCTTCTCTAGGAATTTTAATCTGTCTCTTATTGATGATCAGTAGTTCTTTGATAACGATAATTCGCCTATTTGTATGGATGGGTATAGGACTCATCATTTATTTCGTATATGGAATTCGCCATTCAAAAAATTATCAAGAAACAATACCATGGGCAGATATTCAACAAGATAATTATCAACGACAATTTAGCTTGGAAACAATGAAACTATTGAACAGTGAAGAACTTTCTCTAGCAAAAGAATGATTATGATTCTACCATTACGGGAATCGATTGTCTATTAGCTGTCTGTTTATACAGGGTAGTTGAATTTTAAGCTCATATGTGATTTTCGTTCAAAACTGAAAAATGGATAGGTAGGCCTTTTCATCTAGGTGATCCTGTCTGCTTTTAAACTATGGAGAAACAGACTCTTTCTAACACATTTCTAACACGTTTTTTCCTAAAAGATCCTATTTTGAATTTCCATCAATCTACACGACTCTTTATTTTATCAATATTTTCGTTAGAGACAAATGATTTCACATTAAGACGCACCCGGGGTCATTAGAACTTGATCAAGAAAAGTTTTCGACATTCTTCTCGTAACTTTGTAAGCTTAAAACTTTTCACGAAACTTCCAATGCAAAAGTTGTAGAGGATGCTACGAATGTTGAAGGTTTGGGATGGGAAGTCATTTTGTCGTTTATTTTAATGTTTGTTATTTTACAAACATGAACACGTGGACCACTGACAGCATTAGCAGTTGAATCTATTATTATATTTAATACAATATTAGATAGTCAAATAAATTCGTCATCAATGAATCCATTTCTTACACTAGGACCAGCATTGATGAGTTCGAGTCAAGATGGCAACACTCG